ATAATATTTTTTTTTATTGCTCATTAAACTTGCTTAGTAACAGATTTAATTAATAATTAAAATGCATGACATAAAACTGAAAAATCTTGATTAAAAATCTTGGTTAACTATCTGCATTAAAGCCAGTAATTGAGCTAATAAAATCATGTTTTTAACTGACCATTAAAAAGTACACAAGTACATTTTTATTATCATTTTTAACCTACAATTTTATTTTCAAAAAATTCACAGAAATATTTGTTTTTAAATGAAAGGGTTAAACCACTGAATCTGGCAACCCTTACTCTCGCTAACTCGTGATAATAACTCGTCTTGCGCGTGCGCAGTACTACTATCCGAGTTTGTCGAAGATGTCGCTCGCCAGGAGACTGCTCATAAGCGCCACTAAAACAGCGTCATTTCACTTTCTCAAGTACGCACGAATTAGCGAAACGCCAGTGATGCATTCAGGATGTGTTGTCTTCTATAATAAGACTTTGTTTGATGCTTTATCTTCAGATAATAGCTAATGCACGTAGCATAGCTAGCTAGTTTCTTACAAACTTATCCGTTCTGTTACATATCATGCTAAAGCTTTTTAATCTGTTTCATAGTTATTTTGTATGTAATATAATCCTGTTATAATGTGCATATCAAAACTCCTTGGGCATGCGTTGTTGTGATGAAGGGCATTGTGTGTGCAGCCATTCACTGTCACGTGTGTGTTTGCTGTTGGCCAGAGCTGAGACCGTGAGAACATGTTCAGCTCCTCTCACCTCCTCTACCAAAGAGGAGCATCAAAACCCATCCGGCAGTCTGGCTGAGAGCATCCAGCTCAGTGAATCCTGTGTCAAGGTTTGAACTCGCATGCGCTTCATCTTAGATATTTCAGTGATCACATTTTTGGCAGTAATGAATAAACCAAGACATTGACAAATATGTCTTTTTTTTCCTCCAGAGGCTCGCTGAGATTATGGGAAAGGGACAGTATCTGAGGATAGCAGTGGAGGGAGGCGGATGTTCGGGATTCCAGTATAAATTCTCAGTGGACACTGTTAAAAACGAAGATGACCGGTAATTGCAAAAAGAAAGCAATATGTAGGCCAGGGCTGTCCAAACTCGGCCCTGGAGGGCCGGTGTCCTGCAGA